AAAAAAAAAAAAATGAAAGTTCTGCATTTATAATTTTGAGTAAACATTAACTAATTATTTTGAGACATCAAAATCTATTCATCTTAAATTGAGTCAACTCGACTCAAAATACAATTCATATATACTCCGTCGAATTTGATTCACACCGAACAAAAAATTTCAGAGTTTTCTATTATTATATATAATTAAAAACGTATTAAGCTACTTTATATACTATTTTTCTTCATATTCCAGGGTGGTGGATCCCATGAAAGCTCATCGCCTCCGACTTCGTCCATCATCTATCCTTTTCGTTCTCCCTTTCTAGATTCCTTGGCTCCCTCCGTGGCTCCGTCTCTCTTCTTTCTTTCCTGATCTCGTTTTGTTGCTGTTGCTCTTTTTGTCCTTGTGGTTGCAGTTGTTGTTGCGGTGGTTAAAGGAGAATAGCTCACTGATGTGGTTAAAAGTGATCGATCATAGATTCTGCTTTATAGCTATGAGGAGGTTGTTTCGCTTGTGCCTTTCATTAGAGATTTTTAAGGTCCGGTGTCATCTTCCCTCAGCCCCCTAATTAATTATTCGGAGTGGACGCCGAATATCATCCGGAGATTAAACAGAATGCGTCATATCACTCTTTTTTTGGATACCGTTGCTCGGTATTGCTTAGTACCGCTTATTATGTAACGCATTCTGGTTGGTTTCTGAACAGCGTTCTGCATCCAATCTTGGCAAAGAATAATTTATTCCCCCTTCATCTTCCCTCCGCCCCCTAATTAATTATTCTATGCGGATGCCGAACGTCGTCTGGAGACCAATCAGAATGCGTCACGTCACTCTTATGCTCGGTACCGCGGCACAGTACTGCAAGCGTGGCGCATTCTGATTAGTCTCCAGACAACATTCTGCGTCTAGTGTCCGTACATAATAATTCCCGCGCAAATCATTTCTTCATCTATTGGACCACCTTGCTCAGTCAATTCAATTAGACTTACGGGTTGGTGGCTCTTTTTCTATTCCAGCAAAACTAACACAAATAATTATGAGTACGCAAAGAAAATAAGTGATAGCAGTTTTCATATAACTGAAAATCATCATTCATGCGTGCAAATCCTGAGTGATCAGTAAAGCTTTAGCCTTACAAAAAGGAGTGTATGATTTGGATAAAGTCTTAAAATGAACATAATCAGATTGTTTTATTTGGTTTACAATTGAAACCAATTAATGAATTTAATTAAATTATAAATTAAATTAAGGGTCAATTTAGAATGATCCTTAATTATTTTGAAAACTACTGCCCTTAATTTTCAAAAAATTATTAGATTTATGGAGTTTTAAAAACTTCCGGATCCTGCAATTAGCAGAATTTTCTGCGCTGTTATTAGAGGGATGCCCAGTGCGACTACCATTGTGGATCACCATGACAAGCCTACGGAGTGTCTCCTTCGTGTGCATGATGGATTGCATTATGTTGGGAAGTTACCAATCAATGCTAATTGTATCCAACAGGTCAATGCATAGATTTTTACGTGCAGAGTTCGAATTGGAGAATAGTCTGATTTTTTTTAGTATGCACAATAAAAGCATAGATACTATTCACAATTTCACTTTTACTGTGCACACTCATAAAAACCGTACACTGCTTATGTCAAGACTCTGCTCGTAATAATCTCTCGTAAAAATGAGGCCTTTGCATCAACCCAAACTTAATACAAAAGTGCCGTGCAAGCAATATGCTTAAAAAAATAATATTTATATATTTTCAATAAATTTACACAATTATATCCCCCGCTTAATTTAGGACGAATCACAACAACAAATTTTAAGCTATTTCTATATTAAAAATGTTTAAAATTATATTAGTACTCATATTTTGCTAATAGTACGAGCAAAAATAGGTTTTATTATTATTATTATTATATCTTTTCCATAGCTTTTTTTTTTTTGGGAAAATTCTTTTCCATTGCTTGATGAAGACACTTTTCATATTTTTTTTAATAATTTATGATGCATTAATTTGATTTTTTTTTTTTTTTGATGAGGAAGTACCGTTCTTAGGCCAGTGAAAACTCAAATCTAACTAGCATGCAACCACACCAATTTATACGGGCCAACACTTAAAATTTTCACTGTTTGCCAAGAATTCGAATAAGGACTTAGGCTTTGCCAAGCCGGGTGGATATTTGAATTTTTTTAGATAAAACAATTCTCATGGTGGTACGTACAATTAAGGAGCTAGCATATATATCTATCTTTCAGTTAGCAAGGATATAAATATCCGCCACCTCTCACGTCCCTTCCCATCAACTTTACCTTTAATCCTTCTTCATCACTCCAACCATTCCTTAAACTTTGCTCCTCCTCCCTGCGCTCAGAAACCACAATGAGCATCTCCGTCAATGGGCACTCCACCGTGCCTCCCGGCTTCCGCTTCCACCCCACAGAGGAAGAGCTCCTCGCCTATTACCTTCGGAAGAAGATAGCATCAGAGAACATAGATCTCGACGTTATCCGCGACGTTGATCTCAATAAGCTCGAACCATGGGACATCCAAGGTACAAATCCATACTTATATACCTTTTATGTCTTAATTAATGAGATCATGAAGATTAATTTTTTGGTTTAATTTTGTAGAGAAGTGTAGAATTGGATCGACGCCACAGAATGACTGGTATTTCTTTAGTCACAATGACAAGAAGTACCCGACTGGAACGAGAACTAACAGGGCTACGGCAGCTGGGTTTTGGAAGGCTACAGGTAGAGATAAAGTTATTTGTAGCAGCTTTAAGAGAATTGGAATGAGGAAGACGCTGGTTTTTTACAAGGGTAGGGCGCCTCATGGCCAGAAATCTGATTGGATCATGCATGAGTATCGCCTTGATCAGCTTTATGATTATCACTCGCAATCCTCCTATGTATGGCTCATTACTTTCGTTTACAATAACTTTATAAAATATTAAATAATTATCTCAAGTAAAATATTAATCATTTTAGATTTGAAATATGATTTAGGTTTCATTAATGAAGGCTTTCTTATTGCTTCTTAAAGAAGCTTTTTAGTTCAAATATTTTAATTGTTGAACTACTAATCTCCTTTAAGAAGCAGTAGAAAAACCGTCCTAAAAGAATTCTTATTCTTCACTCATTGATGTATGGCTGGGTTTTGGAAGGCTACAGGTAGAGATAAAGTTATTTGTAGCAGCTTTAAGAGAATTGGAATGAGGAAGACGCTGGTTTTTTACAAGGGTAGGGCGCCTCATGGCCAGAAATCTGATTGGATCATGCATGAGTATCGCCTTGATCAGCTTTATGATTCTCACTCGCAATCCTGCTATGTATGGCTCATTACTTTCGTTTATTTGAAATGTGATTTAGGTTTCATTAATGAAGGCTTTTTTATTGCTTCTTAAAGCAGCTTTTTAGTTCAAATATTTTAATTATTGAACTACGAATCTGCTTTAAGAAGCAGTAGAAAAACCGTCCTAAATGAAATCTTATTCTTCACTCATTGATGTATGCTTTTTTAATTTTTTTTTATTTCATTATTCTAATCATTGAAGTATGTTCGTATATTCATATTCACAATGAAATGATTAGTTTTTAATTAATGGTTGGAATTAGGTCTGAGAGAGGTTTATAGTAATTAGACTATAATATAATATAACAAATTAAAAATTTTGTATTTTGATTGTGTCTAGAACTTTAAGAACACCCGACCCATTTGTTTTTTAAATAGAAATTTAATGAAATTTAGAGAACATATTTTCCTATTAAAAAAGAGGATACTTTAAGGGAAAAAAGAAACTATCTCAACATATAAAATATAATTTCTTAATAATAATTCTTATCTTTGAGAGACTATTACCATAAGCTGGATTAATCCAAATAATTATTTTTCTGATACAGGGTCCGAACATGGTGGCCGAAAACCAGCTTGCCCAAGAGGAAGGATGGGTTATATGCCGAGTCTTCAAGAAGAAAAGCCTGCAAAAGCTCAGCGTTGACCAAGCCACCTGCTCGCATTTGACCAACGACTCCAAACCGCATTCCAGTAGCGACAGCTCTCTCGACCAAATCTTTCACTACATGACCGCCAAATCCGACGGCGAAAACCAGGCCGGCGGACAACACCCCGGACATCTCCGGCCGTTCGATACCCTTCTCAGCCGAGCCACTACCCTCATGCACGAACGATTCACGAAACTTCCGGCTCTCGACAGCCCGGCCACTCCGGCGATGGCAGGCGGCGAGGTTCATCCCGTTCAAGGAACCGGAACCGACGTGGAGTTGTCGGTCTATAACTCGCGGGAGGCCGGATTCGGTGACTGGGCAGTAATCGACCGGCTCGTGGCATATGACCTGGACGCCTACCCTTTCTTCCCTTCGACGAGCCGTTTTCTTGGACACGGCGGCAGCGGCGGCGGCGGCGGAGTAGAGGACGACGGTGATCTATGGAGCTTGACCAGGTCAACAACCTTTTCAGGATCAGGCCATGTCAGCTACGTTTCTCCCGACAAGTAACGGATCATCGGATGAGAGGCCAACTTCTAGTTACGGAGAATTATCGTTGTAATTAAATAATTATAATATTTATAAATAATATTTTGTTGCTTCGTATGGCATTTGATGGGCAAATTATTACATGGGGTCATCGGATGTGGAGAATACGTTCGGACATCCAATAAAAATTTGTCACATCACCTGCATTTTTGACTGCTCTTTAGGTGCGTTTTGACTGTGCTTTACTTATTCTTTTGACTGCGCTATTGACTGCGCTTTGCCTGTACTTTACCTGCACTTTACATGCGCTTTTCTTGCGCGCTTAATTTAAAATAATATTTTATTAATTAATATATGAACATATATCCGTGTTCGGTGATCGGATATGTAATAATTTGCCCATTTTATGAGCAGCAGATCGGAGGGAAAACCGGAAAACGACGTATTTGTCTTATTCTCCTGCTTTAGTTGACATTTATATACGATCAAAGGATAATTTGTATTGAAATAAGAATTGATACGTCATCATAAAATTATCTTGATTGGGCACGAATCTCGAGGCAAAATGAGTTCGGAAACTTCAAAAATTAATTTTGGGAGCACCCAAACTCCGATTTCAGCGAGCTTACAGTCAAACTGAGCGTCTCGAAAATACGAACCCAACAACACCAAGATCAACCCAATCCGAGCCCAAATGAGTCCAAATCAAGGGCTCAAAGCGCTGTGGGAAGGTTCAAAACACAATTTGAGTTATCAAACGGTCTCTGATTTTGGCGAGCTTATACATGAATCGAACGGCTCGACGAGACGAATCCAACGAGCCTAAGATCGCCGAATTCCAACATCATTAAGGCCTTCAAATGCCCAACGAACGGTGCATGATCAAAGGATTCAATATCGGCCGTCCATTCAAAACACTCCCAATTCGCCCCTGATCTCACGCCTATTTACGGACTATGCCACTCCAGAAAAACTATAAATAGAGCCCTCATCCTACACCAAGGGGACTCAAGTGATGAGAGAGAAGAAGAAGAGGAGAAAGGGGAAAAGGAGATTCCTCACCTCCTCGACCACCGCCGGAGCTCTTCCTGCCGCCTGAAGACGCCGGAACTCTGCCGGATTTTCAGGAAACGCAGGAATTCTGCACAACTTCCACGTGATGATGAAATCCTTTCCAATTAACTACAGAGTTCCCTCTTAACGCCAAAGCTCCGCCCAAGTGAAGCTGGATTTCTCCTCTGCCACCAACAGACGTCGGACTTCTTCCCGACTTCGAACCTTCACTCTCCGCCAAGTTTTTACCCGACACCGGACTTCTGCCAGATATCGGACTCATCTAGAAGTCTATGCGAAGATGGATTTCTTTCTATGTTTGTACTTCTACCTGACATACTAGTGGATTCATTCAAACTGGGCTAGGCCCCGTGGTTTTTCCCCCTTTTCAGGGGTTTTCCACGTAAAAATCTTGGTGTCTCATAAATTTTAGACCCTCTCTCTCTTATCTGATTGTGTGCCGGATTTTCGTACAACGCTAAGTCGATAAACTTTATATTTTTCTACCGCCGCGAATACTCCTGGACGCAGCAAGAATATTATTATATATTTAAATGTGATATGAGGAATTAATTGCCAATGAATGTGCTAATTAAAATACAAATATTTAATTATGAAAGAGTTTATATTATTATTGATATAAGTAGTTTATATGAAATTTTATAGGCATTATATATGATATTGGAATGCTTACAATGTTTGTTGAGTTCATTAAGAGTCTGTTTGGCAAGACTCCAATATTTTATAAAATTGATTGTGAAGTTAATACGAAGAAAACAACTTTTCTATTATTAGGGGTATAAACAGGAAGAGTTCAAGGTGTGTGTTGCCCATACTAAAATGTTTATTTTTATTTTACCCAACTTTAATAAATACATATGCCCAAATTCTAAAATATAAATTCATTTTCTATTTCACATATAAGATTTTGTATTTCACAATTTTATTTTTCCTAATCTCAAAAAAGAAGCTACTTCCGCCATTGACTACTATGATGATAGAAAGAAGCTTTCTGCAACAAAAACTTCTAATAATCAATTGGAAAATAAATTTGTAATTATTATATGAAAAACAAAACAGTAAAATGATGTCTCAAATAGGAACAATTATTACGTCCTCCGACCGGATGCAGAGGAACATCCGGTTGTAGGCAAAAACGAGCCTATACCGAGGTGTACCGAGTTTTTTCAGTATAGGCGCATTTTTGCCTACAACCGGATGCTTCTTGCATTCGGTCAACCGAACCAAATTCCCTCAAATAGACCCTAAGATTATCAAGTATCATCAAAACTATCTATATCTATTTATTTATATCTCACTCAAACAATTCTTGTTATTATATTCTATAATTAAATGTGCTAAATGATATTGTAGGCATATTTGGGCTTGTGCATAAGAACACAGAGAAGCATTGATTTTCTTATTGCTTCTTAAAACAATTATTTAGTATGAAAGTTTTAGTTTTTATACTAAAAATTTACTTTAAGAAGTAGTAAAAAAATCTCAAACCAAGGCTAAAGCTTCATTTGTAATGACTTTATTATTGCTTTTTAAGCAGCTTTCTATTATAAAAACTTAAATTTTTATACGAGAAAGCTACTTAAGAAGCAGTAATAAAATTGTCCCAAACGAAGTCTAAGTCTCAAGTAAGATCACATGAATAATTATACATAAACAACAAATAAAAATACTTGCTTGTAAGATGAGATGGCGTTATCATATAATTCTCTTACCTTCCATATCTTTCTTCCCATTAATGTTGTTAAGGAGGAAATGGAAGCCCTTTATGAGTGGTGGGGTGTGCTTTGTTTACTAAAATGTTAAAGATTATAGACTCCTACCTTTGAGCTCGATGGCTATCGTTTTCTCTATTGTCGCCTTGTCGATTATGGAAGAGAAAGATAGAGAGAAAAAGAGAAAAAAGAGGGAGAAAAAAAGGCAATGAGGTGAGGCATCGAAATGTGAAGGTTGGCTCCGAAAAGAAGGCACATAACGCAAGTAGTTTGTACTTGCTGCTGTCTTTACGATAAGTCCTGGAGTAGGAGAAGGGCAGGCTATTATTAGTAAAAATAATTATATTAGAATATTTTGATATAATTTAGAACGAATTTAAATTTTATTTAATATTATTCATTTGAATGTCTATCAGTTAAATGTATTTTTACTTAGACTACACAAATACAATTTATTTCTCCTAGGTACATATATTGCATTATTACGTCAACTACATCATATTTAAATAATTTTAATATTTATTATATCATACCATTTTAACTTTTGAATCTTTATATAACCTCCTATTTTTTTAATTGAAACTTTTATCCCATTTTCTTAAACCCTCCTAAGAACTTATTTGAAAACTTTGCTTTATTTTAAAACAATACAGACTCAAAAATAAATCGATGCAGATTTTCCATGAAAATTTATTAAAAAAATGATATTTTTTTTAGACTTTAGAGCAGTCTTTTTTAGTAAGTAGAAGGTGAACTCTTCAGATATATCCACAATTTCATTTAAGTTTTCTTATGTAAAATTATTTATCTAATGAGTGTTTGCAACGGTTTATGATCAGCATAATATCTATTGTTATAATTCTTACGGGTCAAAAATTTTTTAAACATCGAACAAATTCAATTTAATTTAAGCCAAAAGATAATAATAAGTGGAATAGAGCAGCAATTTAATCAATTATAATCTAAGCTAAGGATAATGCAATTGTAGTTGGTGTAACAATTGCTGTGTACTTTGTGTATCTATTAGGCCTTTGTGGAGCGCTGTGCTGCTAAACTCTCTTTATCTTGGGGCAAATAGAAATTTAACCTTGGGTGTGTTGCAACACTGATGATGTACTAGACCTATGATGCATTACTTCCATACAATCATGAGTTTTGCCGACAATTTCATTTTATTTTCTAACGGTGCTATTAAGAATGTTAAAATTTTAATGAATTATCTTTCTAATTTTAATGATTGTAGTGGCCTTGCTTTTAGTAAAGATAAGACCGAGTACTTTTATTGTTGGTAAATCGGTTAACCAGAGCAGAATTCAAGCTATTCAAAGAGCTTGTGGTTTTCAAGAAAAGAGGGAGAAAAAAAGGCAATGAGGTGAGGCATCGAAATGTGAAGGTTGGCTCCGAAAAGAAGGCACAAAACGCAGGTAGTTCATACTTGCTGTTGTCTTCACAATAAGTCCTCGAGTAGGAGAAGGGCAGGCTATTATTAGTAAAAATAATTATATTAAAATAATTATGTACTTATGCTAAACTCTCTTAGCTTGGGGCAAATAGAAATTTAACCTTGGGAGTGTTGCAGCACTGATGATGTACTGGAGCTATGATGCATTACTTACATACAATAATGCATTATGTTAAATTTCATTTATATATGTTGAATATATCAATATTTCATATTCATAGTGTAATGCCCCAAGATCAAATTCTGAACCAATAAGAACTTTCATGAATCCACCAATATAAATGGATACAATGAAAGCAATTAAAATTATAAATATCAAAATATAAAATTATATTAATTGCTCAAAATTCATATACAATTGTCAAGAGTTAAATCCATTCTTTCATCCGTCTATCTTTTAACTCTTAGTAGAAAAAAAATAAAATTGAATCTCAAATCAATCCTCACTTCACTGGATCCTTACCCTTCCTGAAAAATATGTAAAATCACAAAATGAGCCGGGCTCAGTAGGTTACCAAAACTTATAATTGAAATCAATTCAATATAATATGAACAATATACATATAATCATGAATATGAACATATGACTATAAAAGAATGTAATAATCAATAAAATAATTACAAATTATATGATCAATAAAACTAGAGCAGTGATCAGTAATCAAGTGAACACATATAAGAGGTCAGTAAACTATATCATTTGTATACTCTTTTGTTAAGAGCAGTTATATTTATCTCGATTCAAAAATATGTATATCTATGATAGTTAAATGCATGTCATATAGTGTCAATGACATGCATGTATATCATGTAAATCATGTGATTCATATATATATCAAATGTCTTTGTATCAATTCTATCAAT